GGACGCTTTATGCTTCACTCTCCCGCCGCGGATATTTCATCTTTCGATGGGGCGGGCGCGACCTCTCTCTCCGCGGCCGCCGCCGCCGCCTCCTTCGCCGCCTCCGGCCGAGGAGGAGGAGGCGCGGCGGACGCACAGGAGGCTACCCTTTGGCCCGCGTTCGCGATGCATCAGCCGGGGGACTCGGTTACTTTCTTGCCCAGGAGCCGGGAGGATGGGTACGCGGCGCCGAGGGGTATCGCCGGAAGCGCGCTGGGAGCGGCCGTCGCCGGAGGCTACCGCAGCCTGCACTCCTTCCTTGGCGGCGCCGGCGGCGGCGGCATCATGGCCGGCATGGCCGGCGGCGGGGCCGGGGGGGGAGCCTACGCCGCGCAGGCGCTGCCGTTGGGTTACCCCGACCCGCTCCTGATGGACCATTCCCGCGCCGCGTTGCGGATGGCTGCCGGGGTGCTGCGCGAGGCTGGCCAGGGCGGGGGCGAGACCGGCGAGACCGGCGGCGTCGTGGCTAGGTGAGGCGGACACTTGAAGCTGTTGGTATGTTCGCCGGTTCAGTACGCGGCACACATGGCATTTTCGTCTCTTCTTGTAAAACACGTTGGAGATACAAAATTACAAAATCAAGCACGGACGATCCTTCTGGTGTAGTGCCACATGTTTAGCTTGGAATGCTTACCTACCGCCCGTGATGAACCAACCCCTTTCCCACCACTGGTCATTCTCATGCGTCCTGCCCCCCCTCCCCCTCACCAACTCCCAGGTTAACGGTGGCGCTCCAGCACCCTCTCCTGAGAGGAGGTGGCCTTTTGTCTCCGATATTGGCATCCTTGGCTCAATGGCACCTGGTGGACAACCCCGAAGAGGGGTTAGGCTTAGACTTGACGGAGGCTCTCAAGGCGACGCTGAGGGAGGCGGACAGCCTCAAGCGTGCTCTTGGACAGGTAAGGTTGCGCCCACTTGGACGTCTTGCACGCGTTTGGTCGTCTGCGGTGAATGAACCACGCGCTTTCCTACTTGGGACGTTGTTTTGTGGGCGTGCGCCCTTGGTCGAAATGATGCCTTACTCAGCTCCCCAGGTTCTTTTCTGCATTTCCAAGTCCGCTGTTATTGTGCTGTTCTCCACGCAAAAGTGCTCACATAAATGCGCCTAGAATAGCGCCGTTGTACATCCCCCTTGCAACCCCCCACCCCGTTCTCTTCCTCCTGCTCTCCCTCCCTCCCTACCTTGCACGTGGCACACGTCGGCGACGCGTCATCACTCCGTCCGTTGATCCCCCACCACACGGCAGGAGATCCTCACAGACGAGACGAAGCGGTGCATGGTCGGCCTCAACCGCCTCCAGGTGGTCCTGGCCTGCCTCGCAGGCAAGCTCTTGGGCGCGCTCATCAGCGGCGGGATCGGCTCTCTCGACGGTGGCGAGGCCCCCAACGACCTCCACGCGGAGGTCGAGGCCGACGTCCGGCGGAGAGCGGAGGGCGGCGCAAGCGCTGCCGCGGCGGCAGCGCTCCTCGGGCGCCAGCGGCCGTCGCCAACGTCGACCGAGGCCGCAGCAGCATCGCCGTCCGCCGCCGCTCCGTCAAGGGCGACGAGAGTTACCGGTGCCGGCGGCAGCGCCGGAGAACAGGGCTGGCTTCAATCGCCGTTGCTTGCGAACGGGATAGTGACGGCGCCCGCCGCCGCCGCCGCCGCCGGTGCCGTTGGCTCGGGTCGGGGCGGCGGTGCCCTCGCCGCGGGGATGGTGGACGATGGGAACGGAGGGATGGGTCCCGCCGGCGCCGGCCCCATCCAGGCGTTCCTCAGGGACCTGGTCGAGGGTGTGCCGGGGTCGCCGGCGCTCGCGCTGAGCCAGTGGGTCTCGAAGCACGTCGGGGAGAATCCGGTCCTGGCGAGGACCGGGGGGCCGCTCATCGCGCGCGGGGTGCGCGGGGCGGCGGTGGCGATGCTGTGGCACTCGGGGTACGCGGCCGCCGCGCAGCGGATGGCGGCGGCGCTGGCCGCGGCCCCGCCGGCGGCGCGGTCGCGGGTAGACTCCCAGGTGCCGCCGTACTTCCTGCTGGAGACGTGGAGGAAGGCCGCCGGGCTCAAGTCCTGGGCGAAGAGCCGGAGGGACCGGGGCACTCCTTACGAGGCCACCGCCGCCGACCTCGCCCAGCACTGCCGCTTCCTGCTGTCCCTGCACCCGGCCACCGGGGACAGGCCCGTGGGCTGGCTCGTGCAGGAGTTCAAGGCTTTCGCCTCGGCGGCGGCGGCGGCAGCAGAAGAAGGCTCTTCCCCGACAGCGGCGGCGGCGGCGGCGGCTGTGCCGCCGGCCGCGGCCGCGACGGCGCCCGCTATCCCGCTCAGACGGTCCCCTTCCCCGTCCAGCCGCGGG